AAGATTGCAAATATTATAATAATAATAGTTTGTATAAATATATAATATAACTTATAATCATAAATTAAGTATACTATATATCTAATTATTTTACAGTTATTATATAGTATAATAACCTGGTTATTATACCACAATTTTAATTATACCGTATAAAATTCCCATCCCTAGGATCTACCCCTCGAAAGACATTTTCCCGAAAAAACATAATACCGACTAAATTGACCAGCATTATAACTAATGACTAACTTTGTCGGTATTATGTCTTTTTTGGGAATCTATCGGGATTTAGGGTAGAACCGTATAAACTATTCCCAAATATAAAGGAATCGAACTATGGTAAATAAATAAAAATATATAGAAAGAAAATAGGGATCGAACTTATGTTAAATAAACGAACTTAATGAACGATATCACCTAGGTGAAATTATTTTTGGTTAAAATAAATTATAAACTTTATTCTACTGTATAAACAATTATACTAAATTATACCAGCAATATTAGTCAAATTTAATAATTTTTTTTATTTGAATTCCATAGATTCATAGAATACATGTTAAAAGTTCTAAAAGTAAAAAGTAAATAAATTTAATCGTGTACGTACGTACCTAATATATTTAGTTTAATATCACAAGCTTGTGTTATCAGAATATTATCAAAAAACTCGCAAGACTAGGGCCTGAGCGACCTCATGCTTCCCCAGGTGCTGAACTCCCGGTACTAACAGACTAATGGACGCACAGGATTACCACTATTTATTATAGAGTTGAATCTATAATAAAGGTTAATAGGCTCTCCACTTGACCAAAGCCTTCACTACTAGAGAGTTTGTACCTGTTCAAGTTAAATAGTTGCAATAAAGTTTATTTAATTTTATATAAAGTAGTTTTAGATTAAACCATTTAAAATAACCTTCACTCTACAATGTAATTTTTCACGGTCCAATAGACGATGTATATTTTATCTTCTAAGTAAAGTCAGTCAGAAGAAAGATTCTTTTCGGGTTCTTTTGCATAATGAATATCACGTTCGTTTAGAACTATGAATGTCTTTTGGGTATTAGTGAAACGTTACGTTCTCAAAAGTGTATAAGTTACCCGGGCAATTGATATACATCAGTCAATCATACGAATGACTGACAGTATTACAGTCGACCCCGTACGTAAGTGCACGTTGTTTGGGAAAAGTATACTTATGAAGAGCGGTTTACATATAATGCTACATAATTCACACTAGGCCGATCAAATGATGTACACATAAAGAGGGAAAGTCACGAGGAAGTGCACTTATATGTAGGCAATAAAGTCTTTTGTTTTACTAATAGTGCCTTATTAAGGTTAAAAATTGGAAATAGAATATGTAATTTGATAATCAAAAAAACTACGTATTAAAAAATTGAGTAGATACAATGTTAAATAAATTAAACTGTTCGTAACATATTAATATTATTCTTTTTTTGTTCGCCCAACGTTTTATGCAAGTAATATTCTTAATAATTCCTGATTACGAACTACAGAAATTAATGATTCAAATTATTTTTATCCTACCAATCTTCACAAAAAGACTAATAATTCTTTATCGAATTTGTCTTTATATACCGATACGCATTCATACAGACCTTTTTTGTACTTTCAATTCACCAATTAAATTATTACGTCAAGATTCCCGCATTTTATTAATTTTAATTAAAGATTATCCCGAGTCAGACCGATGCTTGAAACGGAAATAACTTTAATCATCTCTACCGGTTTTAGAAAACAAATTGCAAAATGTAAATTGTATATAAATATGATCAAGGCTTTATCAGGTTTTTTTCCTCATCGCTGGCCGAATCAGTCTCGTAATTGTTAGCATCCTTTGCCATTACCATTTTAGCCCATTAATACTCACATCACAATTACCGTATCATTACCTACTTTTTCCATAAGCAGTTGGTCAATTGCGAGCATAGGGATTTACGCCTTCATCGGCTAATAGACAAGATAGACGAATTATTATCATTATTATTATATATTTTTTTTTCTAGAAATAAACAATACACTATAGTATAGTTTATTATAAATACGACTGAAATTCAATTAACACAAAAGTACCACAAATCTGCAAAAATAACATAATTAAATTTTGTGTCATTGAATTGACCTCAAAAATTCATTATTGTTATAACGGCCTTTCTCTAGGGAAAAAAAAATTATATATCTTTTACAATAATATAATGTTTTCATCTATAACTCGCATTGGTAACTCTTCCCAATCGTCCTCAGATAAATCATTACCTCCACCAGTTCCATCCAAATCTTCAAAACCATCCATATGGCAAAAAACTAGAACTGCTTGCTCACCATGTTGTAAAGTTCTTCTAACCCCATATTACAGATGGAGCGAATGGCTAGAAAGGAGACATCCAAAAGTAGCTCCATACAAATATGCCATATTAATTTCATTAGGATTATTTCTATTAGCTTTACTAATTATAATAATAGTTGCCGCTGTCGGTGGATTTCAAAATCAAAATACTGGAGATACTGGAACACCAGGATTAAATTTGAGTGGAAGTGGGGACGGTACTTATTATGGTGAGTCACGTTGTTATAGAGTAATTAAACCTCCTTAAATACACTCCTTGGGATCATAGTAAAAAAAAAAAAAAATAGACCAAATATATAGTGAATTATTAAGATTATACTGGCATTTAGAGTGAATTTACATATGGGTGTCTTTGTAGAGGATGCATTTATAGAGGTTTAACCGCATCCTAGCATATATATTAACATTTCAATGCATCTATTTATAGATCCAGGCGTAGGGATAGGTTCATGCGGAATGCAAAATTACGACAGTGAACTAGTTGCCGCTATGGTAAGTTTCTAAACAACTAAAGATTATTTTCACCATTATCTCCCATTATCTAATTTTATTGTATTCTTTTATTTATTTTTATTTATTTAATAAAAGAATGCACCACAGTACGGTATATATTCTGACCATGCTGATTCGCCAGTGTGCGGGAAATGCATACAAGTCACTGGGCCTAAGGGAACTGTTAAAGTAAAGATTGTGGATAAAGTAAGTTTTTATTTTTATTTTTATTTATTAATATCCAATATCCATTGCTAACTTTTGAATACTATTTTTAAGTGCCCTGTATGTAAAAGTGGAGATATTGATATGTCATCAACTGCCTTTAAAGTAAGTTATAATATAGTGATTGGAACCATGATTCGTTTAATCGCCTTTAACAGTTTATGTTATACGGTTAAACGAGCAAGAAATTTTATAAACGGTTAAACTATTCGCTTAACTGTTGTTAAATTTTATACGATTAATCGCTTAATAATCGTTTAATACCTCATGTGGATATAAACAAATATGCTGTAAAGTCATTTTATCGAAGCCATAATATTGATAATCCATTTTATTGACAAGACATAATTTTGGTATCTCATTTTTCCGAAATATCATTTAATCGATTACAAAATTCTTATCAAGTAAGTTATCTGAAACCATTTCTCCAAACTAAAAAACAATGGACAATTATTATATATTTCATGTTGAGGAATTGAATTTTCAGAAAATTAGTTGATCAGGAAAGATGAAAACTTCTATCAGTGAAATGGGCTGTTGGTATTATGTGATCAGAGAAATGATGTTTCGGAAAAGAGATTTTGGGAAATTGAACAAAGCATGAGTGATGTCAAATTAGAATTGAAGCGAATATTCAAGTTCTTACTGTAGTGAACTGATTGTATTGTGATTCAATTATGCTATATTATAATTTCTCGGAGCTAAGTTCGTCACAATGAAAACTTAAATATTTACTTCCTGGTTTTAATTTGGTGGTACTCATATATACTATTTTATTAATAACTATTTATCGTTATGCTACAGTATAAAAATTTTATATTCTGGATTTATACTGCATTTAAATAATTAAGCGATTAAATATACGGTTATACGATTACGGTTAAATGGTTAAAACGATTATATGATTATTAACTGATTAATTGTGTAACTTGTAATTAAGCGTAAGCGACGCGATAACCACCACAATAATTTTTTGCGGTTCCAATCCCTATCATAATACACTTAGTGATTTTTAAAACGATATATAGATATATATTTACGTTTCCATCTTTAATATAAATAAATAGCAAATTGCCGACCTAGATGCTGGAAGAGTAAAAATAAAATGGAGAGGATGCTAACATTCAAAACAATTTAACGACCACCATATTTAAAATTGATCTATACTAGGATTTAGTATTTATTTATAAATTACATAAATAATTTTGTTTTATAAATAATAGAAAGCTGTATAATTTATATATTTATAATTTAAAGAATCACTAGTAGTAGATCATAATTAGCCAAAGTAGGGTTAGAAATATACCTATTTGAGAGTGCTGGTAAAATGTAATTATATATATTATGATCCGATACATAGCATATATTTATTTGCAAGCATTTTCTAAATCTCGAATCAAATTGTCAAACTTTGACCTATTAATTAAAAACAGCTTCATAGCAGGTGCAATGCCAAAATTTGAAAATGTTCTTTTGGAATCTGAAACTGATGGTTGTTTTGTAAAATTGAAATTTAATTGGTAGTCTGCGTTCTAAACAATACAATATTTTTTATGAATTGTGATTCGAGGATCATTAAAGCGTAAATGAAATGGTAAAAAAGGTAAACTTAAAATCAAAATACCTGTTCAATGATTTCATCCTCAGGATGAAAATAAAATATTGTTGGTTCAGACTAATAATAAAAGAAAATGAGTAAATACATAAATTAAATTGATATATGTGTTAATAGATACCTTTGCTTTTTTCTTTTTTTGTTTTTTACTTGGTTTACTTTCGTCATCCAAAGTAGACATTACTTCTTGATAAGTTTTAGACAATACAAGGTACCATTCAAAGTTATATGGTTCATTCTAAACAAAGTAACGTTAATTTTTAAACTATAATAATTCCTTTTTTTTTTTTTTTTGTTTTAAAGTTCATGTGGCCTTTATGCTTACATCGTCAACAGCCCACTGAATTTCCTCTTGCAACATTTTATACATAGGCGGTACAATTTGTACTGGCATGTTAATTAATCTTTCGCTTAATATTAATCCAACATGTTCTATGGAATCTTTTTTTAATAACGTATCAAGTTTGTCATTTAAGACTGAATCTTGTTTTGTCTTGTCTAATAAATATGTAACTAGATCTTTTATACATTTTTTCTCCTATTCAAAAACTCGTTTATTTAAATTACAAAAGAAGTGTAATCGATCAAAATTTTGATTTAATTGAACTTACTGAATGTTCATTCATATTCAAAACTGTAAGAACTGCATAGGGATCTGAATCCGCACCATCAACTTTTACAGTGGTACCCAATAATGGTTGACTAATAATCAGTTCAGTGAGTTCGCTAATGCAAAATAGTTCAGCATCCGCGGAAAATAATTGAATCACCAAATTTTTTATTGAGTGGAAATCTATCGGTTTTGGGTCAAAAAAGTCAAAGTCTATATCCACTATTTCCTCCTATAATCGGCGGATGAATTTTATTGTTTAAAATTGATATCGAATAAAAATTGGGAATAATTTTTAAATTTATACGATAGTACTTCCAAGTGCGCATTTTCTTCCCCGTCAGAAACACCTTCGTCAGAGTCTATTTCTTCTTCTTCTTCCTCCTCAGATACATCCATAGATGGCGAGTCGATAGGATCTTCATCGCCTTTATTAGCTTTTCGTTTTCCCATGTTAAAAATAAAAAAAAGATTTTCTGCAAAGGCTGCAATTTTTGATCAAATTTATACCGATCTTGTGTCACGTTGCTAACTTTTATCATTTCGTGGCTTTAATTAAAAAAAGCCATTGCTAATACGTATATCGATATATTAAACGACAAAGTGCCTCTAATGCTATTAGTAAAGCCGGCGCGTCTACGGGCACGTACCAAGTCATGTGATTTGTACGTACGGCTATATCACGTGATTGTCCGTATAACGAAATGAGGAAGAAAATTCGTTTGGTTATTTTTTTAATAAAGCAAAGTTTATTAAAGCATTTGAATAAATT